CGCACAGACCAACCATTTTTACAGATGCAGGTTGGGCCTAATGCAATTTACACTATGGGGAGGATGCGAACTGAGCTTGATGCATCCAACCAAATGACATGCAAAACATGACCCAGAGCATGTACACACTTAAACAAGTTCCTCCGAAAATGTAACCAAACGCGCCCTCAATGATCTGAAAGTTGGTGCAAGCATTTGTGCCACTGTGTGGGAAGGGAAAACAGGGGAAGTTTTCGCAGTTTCCGGGGGAGAGATTCTGAAGAGCTTTTTCTAGGGCTTTCCCAGAGTTGTCTTACCATAATGTGAAAGCCGTGGGAGCTTGCATCAACGACAACTTATAGTTTAATTAAGGATTTTCTGTTAATCGTCTAATTTTTTATACTATTTATGAAATGAGTGGTCATATGGAGAATCCCGCGGCCGTAGTAGCGTTACAACCCGTCCAAGACAAGCTGTGAGACAAGCTCTAGGAGAATGCCATGGAGGACAACTACATGTAGGATGAGGCAATGGTTGGAGGGATGATGCAACATCGGGAGCCAAGGGCATGATGGTCCTCTCCTTGGACTCCGACAACGTGGCCTAGGGCGATGTCCAAGAAGCTAAGCATCTCTGCTTATGGCTATCTTTAATTCCAAAAAAATTTAGGAGATCTTTTGCTTGAGCTAGTTGAGATAAACTCCAATTTAATAGGGAATTTTTTTATCGTTGTTTAATGTGCAACTCAAATCAAGATGGAAGCTTATGTTAATGATAACTTGCAGTTTCATTAAGGGCGTTATGTTAATTATCTCAATTCCGGTACTGTTTATGAAGGGATTGCTCATAAGGATGCAATATGCGGAAGGGATTGGATTTGAAAATATGAATTTTGTGGTTTAGATTTTGGGGATCAATTAGATGCGAGGCTCCCAATACACAGTTTTTTATAGAGTTTAGTTTAGTAGTAGTTTTTTGGGGTTTAAGTTTGGTGATTGGTTAGAGTTTCCCTTTGGATGGAGTCTATCCCGGACGATGTTGATCTGAACTGCGGCCTAATCTTAGCTTCTTGATCATAGGCTGTGTGATAACAATGTGTATGTTGTTGGATCAATCTTCAGCATCGACATATTAGAACTATAGATTTCCCTCAATAGAAAAGAACTATAGATTGATGAAAAATCTTCTTTTTGCCGTTTTGATAATATAAGAGCTTTAAAAAAGGATAAATAAGTTACGTACTATTGAGCCAAATATACATCGTTTGTTCACATGATCGTAAAGGTCTACACATTAGAAAAAAGAAAAAGAAAAAGGTCTGCACATTGGATACGCACCCAACATGCCTAATCAGCTAGGGCATGTTTGGTAGGCTGCATCAAGCCAAACCAAACTCGGGCGGGCTAAGTAGTGAGTTGTTCGGTTGCCTAGCTCGCGCGTAGAAACCGGTCCGCATGAAACTTAAAAGCGCTCTCAGCCTGGCTCGCGAGGAACGCATAGACCAACCATTTTTCCAGATGCAGGTTGGGCCTAATGCAATTTACACTATGGGGAGGATGCGAACTGAGCTTGATGCAGCCAACCAAATGACATGCAAAACATGACCCAGAGCATGTACACACTTAAACGGGTTCCTCCGAAAATGTAACCAAACGCGCCCTCAATGATGTGAAAGTTGGTGCAAGCATTTGTGCCACTGTGTGGGAAGGGAAAACAGGGGAAGTTTTCGCAGTTTCCGGGGGAGAGATTTTGAAGACCTATTTCTAGGGCTTTCCTAGAGTTGTCTTACCACAATGTGAAAGCCATGTAAGCTTGCATCAATGACAACTTATAGTTTAATTAAGGATTTTCTGTTAATCGTCTAATTTTTTTATACTATTTATGAAAGAGTGGTCATATGGAGAATCCCGCGGCCGCAGTAGCGTTACAACCCGTCCAAGACAAGCTGTGAGACAAGCTCTAGGAGAATGCCATGGAGGACGACTACATGTAGACGAGGCAATGGTTGGAGGGATGATGCAACATCGGGAGCCAAGGGCATGATGGTCCTCTCCTCGGACTCCGAAAACGTGGCCTAGGGCGATGTCCAAGAAGCTAAGCATCTCTGCTTATGGCTATCTTTAATTCCAAAAAAAGTTAGGAGATCTTTTGCTTGAGCTAGTTGAGATAAACTCCAATTTGGTAGGGAATTTTTTTTCGTTGTTTAATGTGCAACTCAAATCAAGATGGAAGCTTATGTTAATGATAACTTGCAGTTTCATTAAGGGCGTTATGTTAATTATCTCAATTCCGATACTGTTTATGAAGGGATTGCTCATAAGGATGCAATATGCGGAAGGGATTGGATTTGAAAATATGAATTTTGTGGTTTAGATTTTGGGGATCAATTAGATGCGAGGCTCCCAATACACAGTTTTTTTATAGAGTTTAGTTTAGTGGTAGTTTTTTGGGGTTTAAGTTTGGTGATTGGTTAGAGTTTCCCTTTGGCTGGAGTCTATCCCGGACGATGTTGATCTGAACTGCGGCCTAATCTTAGCTTCTTGATCATAGGGTGTGTGATAACAATGTGTATGTTGTTGGATCAATCTTCAGCATCGACATATCAGAACTATAGATTTCCCTCAATAGAAAAGAACTATAAATTGATGAAAAATCTTCTTTTTGCCGTTTTGATAATATAAGAGCTTTAAAAAAAGAATAAATAAGTTACATACTATTGAGCCAAATATACATCGTTTGTTCACAGGATTGTAAAGGTCTGCACATTAGAAAAAAGAAAAACAAAAAGGTCTGCACATTGGAGACGCACCCAACATGCGTGATCAGCCAGGGCGCGTTTGGTAGGTTGCATCAAGTCCAACCAGGCTCTGGCGGGCTAAGTAGTGAGTTGTTTGGTTGCCTAGCTCGCACATAGAAACTGATCCGTGCGAAACTTACAGCACTTTCACGCACATACTAACCCTTTTTTAGATGCAGGTTAGGCCTAGTGCAATTTACAGTACAGGAAGGATGCGAACTAGGCTTGATGCAGCCAACCAAACGACATGCAGAACATGGTTCAGAGCATGTATACACTTGAACAGACTCCATTGAAAATGTACTCAAACACGCCCTCGATGATCTTATCAAGTCAGTGCAAGCATTTGTGTGGGAAAACAGGGAAGGTTTCGCAGTTTCCGGGGAGAGATTTTTGAAGAGCCTTTTCTAGGGCTTTCCCACAGTTTTCTTACCATAATGCGCAAGCTTTACGGTGCGGCCAATCACACGCAAGGAAAAATATCGCGCTGGAGAACATGGTCCAGATGGCCGGCCGGCTGTTATTCCGAATGCCCGTCGCACGCCACCGAACGAGCCCTGGCGCGATACGTGCCAGTGTGCCTGGCCACAAACTCCAAACAAAGTGCCGGAATCATGGAGCCCAGGACGTGTCCCGTGTGTGCCGTGTCTGCATGCATTGCCGCGGGCGAAAAGATCTACTAGCGCACACGGCACACCTGTCTGGCTCTCGGAGTTGCGGTCGTACTTGCCTGCCACCGGTATGGCGGTGACCTGGATGGCTGGCTGTTCAGTGCAGGACTCCGTTCATCCATGAGTAGAAGAAAGCTCTCCACTTTCTGCTATCTGTTTCTCGCGCCAGCAGATTCGTGTCCGCATGCGATATAATGCTGATCAATTAAGCTTCAAATGCAGGAGTTCGCGCAGCACCAACGGCCGTGAAATGACGCGCAGAAAACTTAGGCTGGGTGGGTCTGGCCAGCTAGCTGTGTGATTACTCTATGCACATGCCCATACCCGACGCGTGGCTTTTTTTTTTTGCGAATTACCCGACGCGTGGCTTGAGTATGTGATTAGGACGTCGCTCATGCTCCAGACGGGCACGTCCTCCCTTTCTGTCGATGTGGATGGCTCCTCTCCTTTGTGCTGTGCACGTACGTGTCTGGCGTTCAGTTGAGTACATGGCATTGTCACCACAAAATGGACGCCAGCAGCTAGCGTGGTCTCGATGCGATTTCACGTGATTCGCATGGCACTTCCATATTTCTTCGAGCATTGAGGGAGGCATGGGGTAGATGTGTTTGCCGCCCGATTGCCCGTAGGACCGCGCTCGAACGGCGCGGGTCCTTTCTCGTGCAGAGGAGGAGAATGTGACAGAGACGACAGAGCATATTCCAAAACCAAGGTAAAACAGCAAGAGGAAACTAGAGATTCATCATGATTCTGACGAACACAAGTCACAAATCATCAAGCCTGTGGAAGAACATGCAAGTCGGATTGGCATCGAGGGATCCACGTAGTACTACGTGCATGGTGTGGCCCAGCGCCATAAAGGCGCTAGCTAGCTAGGCAGGGCCATGGCATACTGGCATGGCGGACGACGGCGACCGGACACGAGCCGGCGCCGGAAGAGCGTGGCCCGTACACCACCCCTTGCCTCCTCCACGTGTACCTCCTGCCGGCTTTCCTTCTTATCCCTCCACGGATCGTCCACGTAGACCTGGCCCCTCCGCCCCTCGAGAGCAGCCGCGGAGCCGCGCACACGTGTCCCCACCCGCCCACGGCCCGCGCCGAACGCCAAACGCGGAAGCGATTCCGGCCCGCCCGTCCGCCCGACTCGTGTCGCGCGGCCGCGTGCCCC